AGCCCCCGATGGGGAGGACTGGGCTGGCTCTGCGGGCTTCTGGGGGTGGAAGCTCTCCTGCAGCCCCCCAATTGCTCCCTCTCCCCAGATAGCAGCCTGCAGCAAGTGCAGCCGGTCTGATGGCCGAGTGCTGTGATGTGCCCAGTGTGGGCACTCAGGGCACTCCAAGACAGGACTGCTTTGCAAGCGGGGCACCCCTGAGAACTGTCTGTCCGGGGTGGGGGTCGAGTCCCTTTAAGCACAGCCCTCGGCTAGCCTGAGGCAGCAGCTCCACGCTCTAAGTCCTCATCTGATGCCCTGCCGGCACTGCTTCCGGCCATCCTTAACCCTGGTTCAGGGTCCACTTAATGTGGACATGCTAGTTTGAATTAGCAAAACGCTAATTCGAACTAGTTTTTTAGTCTGGATGCGTTAGTTCGAATTAGCGCTGTAGTGTAGACATACCCTAGGAGTCTACCATTCATTTACTGATCAAATGGACTATTATTCAAACTCTTAATTATATTCTGGTTTGAGCTATGATGGGTATAATATTTTTATTTTTGAATTATACATATAGTGCCAGATCTTTGGTGATTGAAAGTAAGTTTTGTTCCACTAAAATTAAGAGAACTATACTGATTTACACCTATGAGGAACATAAAAGTCTCATCTGGGACAGCAGAGCAACATTTAAAAAGACAAAGGTGAGCAAGAACACATGATTAAGGAGACTGGTATCAGGATACTAATCGATCAGCCTATACTTGACTGGTTGAAATTCAGATCAGATAAGTTAGTAATGAGATTTGGTCATCTGTGATGGTCTGTAGCTTGTGTGAAATGAATTGTAGTTTCACTCAGTTTTCATGAATTCCAGTTTAGAGTTCTGTTAGAACTCCCTTTCCATCCCACTTAATTCAACAATAGCATGACTCAGCATATATGCAAAATCAGACCACCAAATGAACCTGAGAAATTTAGCAAAAATTACCAAAAGCTCAGGGAGACAGGCATTGAGTACATATTAAAAGAACTAACCATTTCGGGTGTGGGGGGAGGTTGAGATATTATAAAAGTCTACAAATATTTGAAGGGAGAGGGATTATTAGTGCAAATATGGCAGCATTACTAAGAATAAACAAGTTTTGGGATTTTTTTTTAAGAAAAGGAGACTGTATGCTGAATATCTGGGATACTACAACTTGTCGATTGCCTTCAATACAGAAGTTAATGGTTAAAAAAAACTCAGCTCCTTGTAGGATGTTATCCTAAACGACCCAATACTAGAGTTAATTTCCTTCTTTGATGTCTAAGAACATGTAGCCATCCGAGTAATTTCTTTAAATATACCTGTAACGGTCCCAGCCCCTATCTCGGGGAGAGGGGTCGTTATCTTTCGCTGATTTGTCTCTTGGGTGGCTCCCCGGTATCCGACCGGGGCGGAGGGGGACCTGGGCCCGCCCCCTCTCCAGGTCCCAGCCCAGGACCCTAAGGGAGTGCGTCTGAGACGCGCTGCCCAACCGGGGGGGCTATGGCCGCAACGCACCGGTCCCCGGGGTTTCTGACCCCGTCCTGGGCTGCTTCCTCCGACCCTTTCGGGTCTGTATGTCTCAGTTTGGTTCAGTGGGGTTTTTCGGGTTTGACTCACCCACTCAGATCGCGGGACAGTCAGTTGCCCGTCCTGGGTCCGCAGTCGGTCCTTCCGCCCCGCCACCGTCCAGAGCGATCGTCTTCGCCCCGTCTCCCTGGAGCTCCCTCCTCCACCCCCTGTGTCCAGGCTGTCTGGCTTTTAAACCCCGCGCTCCTGCTCAGGGACGCCAGCGCATGCCCCCTGCGGGAGGGGCTGGGCGAGTGCGTGGGCGGCCCCTCCAGGCGAAGGCTCCTGCGCCTGCGCCAGCCGCCCTCCCCCGGGCGGCGTGTTAGAGCCGCTCGGACTTCCCTGCGGCAATGTCCCGCGGCGCCCCGGGC